TTCTCCAGAGCCCCTTTATCTATGACCTTTCAGGGAGCTAAAGCAGCTCCATTTAGGCTCTCCTGTTGCTTCTTCTGTCATAAACGCCCTTCCTTGCTTCACTGTCCCCAGCTTTAATAAACATGCTCTCAAAATAAAAATAAAACCAACAACATATTGCTTCTTGGCCTTTTGGTTAAGATCAAGTGTATTATTGTTCCTACCAGTTTAACATCTGATAAGTTGTCTGTCTGAGGACACTATATTAAATGGCATTTTGGAGCAGGGAGGTGGAACAGAGCTTGCTCCATCCATCCTGCACATCAACCCGGTATTGCAGTGCTCTGGGAAATGGTGCACACACAAAAAGCAGACTCAGAGTCTGTCTTTATATGGCCAATTATTTTGGAATGCCAAGTAATCTTGTAAAAGCAGGGTGGAGTGAGGGACTAATTTAGAGAAGCAAAAGCAATATTGAAAACTCAGTGTGTTTTTGAACTAAGTGAGAGAACAGCTTCACCATAGCTATGGACTCTTGTTTACACAGATCCTATCTTTGTATGGCTACACTGTTCTTTTTAAACTTGTCAATTTCATGTGAAATATCTTTAACTGGATTGAGCAAACATAGTTACCCTCAACAAATACCTGGGAACAAGTTTCCTAAACTTTTGTTTTGTAGTATCTGTTAATCCATTCCTCTTAGGGACTTTTTATGTCATTGTCTCCCAGTATCGCCACAGTACAAGGATGCTATGTTTACCCGGATAAGGGTGGCGTAGCTTCTTCATTCTAGATAAGCTGAGGATTTTCTAAGTCCCCAAACCCTGGTTCCTTTTTTCCTTAATAGTTCTTCCTTCCTCTCACATTTTACAATAAGCCGCAAGAGGAAGCCAGGCAATGCCTTCAACACTTTGCTTAGAATCTTCTCCTCTAAATACGTAAATTCATCATTTCTGCATATGGCAAACTGCAGTTCAGCTAAGATCTTCCACTGTATTATAAGGACATGCTTTCCCTCCACTTTCCAATAACGGGGTCTTCATTTCCATCTGTGTCCTCACCAGCAGCACCTGCAACGATCATATTTCTGCCAGCAGTCCCTTTCTGGCATATTCAGTATTCCCTAAGAAGACACAGGTGTTCTTTTCCATGGCGCCTGATTCTCTACCAGGCTTCTGAGTCCTCACTAGCAGGGTGAACATCCACGTCCTTCCCAACAGTGCATTCAAAGCAACTTAAGATTTTGAAAAACTGTGCTCCACAAAATCCTTCCAGCCTTGGCCATTTCCCCATCCCGAAGCTACTTTCACATTTTTAGGTATTGGTTACACCAGCACCCCACTTCCCAGTTCCAAAACTGTATTGGCTTCCCATTGCTGCTGTAGCAAATAACCATCAACCTAATTACTGAAGACAACACGCATGTGTTATCCTACATGGAGGTCAGACGTTTGAAATGAGTCTTCCTGGACTAAAATCAAAGCGTTGGCAGGGCTGTGCTCCTTTCTTCTGGCTCTTAGGGAGCATCCGTTTTCCAGGTTGATGCAGCTTCTCGAGGTGCACACATCCCTTGGTGATAACTCCCTTCCGTCTTCAAAGCCAGAAATGACAAGTTAACTCCTTTTCACATCGCATCACTCTGACAGGGTCCCTCTGACTCTGACTCTCTTGCTTCCACCTTTCCTTTAACAATGGTTCTCAACCTTCTGGCCCTTTAAATACAGTTCCTCATGTTGTGACCCAACCATAAAATTATTTTCGTTGCTACTTTGTAACTGTAATGTTGCTACTGTTATAAATCGTAATGTAAATATCTGATATGCAGGATGGTCTGTGAAAGGGTCGTTCAACCGCCAAAGGGGTCGCGACCCACAGGTTGAGAACCACTGCAGAAGGATCTTGTGATTGCTGTGGGTCCACATAGATAACCTGGGATAATTTCTCCATCTCAAGGTCAGCTGATTAACAACACTCATTCTTTTTTAAAAATATATTTTTATGGATTGCAGAGAGGAAGGGGGAGAGAGAAACATCAATGAGGAGAGAGAATCACTGATTGGCTGCCTCCTGTACACACGCCCCTCCCCCCACTGGGGATCAAGCCTACAACCCAGGTATGTGTCCTAACCAGGAATCGAAACACCACCTCCTGATTCACAGGCCAATGCTCAACCACTGAGCAACACTGACCGGGCAACAATCCTAATTCTATGTACAACTTTAATTCCCCCTTGCCAAGTGCCATGGAACATGATGTATTCACAGGTTTCAGGAATAAGGACATGGGCATCTTTGGGTCAAGGGTTGCGGGGCATTCTTCAGCCTACCATTCTATTAACTGTTGAGGAAAACCACCTGTTTTGAGAAGATATAGGACAATATTTCTATCACCATTAGAATCTCTTCAAAGTCCACGCTTCTTCATGTACTAGTATGTCCTATCAGGAATAGAAATTTAGGGACTCCAACTTCACATGGTCTGCTTTCTCTAATTAAAACTTCACATTCCAAAAGAGACATTTTGGAGTGCTAAATGTCTCAATAATTACAAGCTAACAGTGTAAAATATATTTAATTAGGTGGGTTTAAGACAAAATTGAAAGAAAATAATCTTAAGAAGTGGAGTATAAAAGAGTAACAAAGAGGAAAAAGATAATGAAGTTTGTCTTTTCTTTCTTTTATTGGACATGCTATCCTGATTTGATAACTAGTACAGTCAATGGTTTGTTAAGTGGTAAAGAGAAATTCTGCCCTTGACATATAAAAAAATTGTATACATTAGGGTGCAATGGTCCTCCCATTTCTTCCCTCCTGCTGCATCGCCCCCTCACCCTTTCTCTCAATTCGTTTTGGTTTATGAACTTGTGGTTTTGGTTTATGAACTGGATCAAGAAACCAGTAGAGCTAAATCTATTAGTCCCATCAATTAATTTGAACTGATATGGCAATAATATTCCAGAAAAGAGAGAGGGAGGGAGAAAAAAAAGCTGGTTCTAAAAATCTCTAAGATAACGAGATTCAGACAACCTGTTGCTAGGTCGAGCATACTTAATGAGTTGATTGGAGATCAAGGGGGGATTTTACAAGGGACGATTTTGTAGGTTCAACTGCCAGAGGGGTCGCGACCCACAGGTTGAGAACCGATGCTTTAGAAGGACCTTGTGATTCAGTAGGTTTGGGGTGAAGCCTGATGTTCCATATTTCTGACCAGATCACAGGTCAGGCTCATGCTGCTGATACCTAGACCACACCCTAAGTAATGAGGGATAGATCACTTCTCTGGTTGGCATTGGCATTTACAAGAGTGACATTTGTACTGCTGTCATTGTGAGCATAGGAATACAAAGCATCTTTTCTGCCCGAGCTGACAAATTGTCCCAGGATGGCTTTAAACTGAATACAAGTCCTTGTTAACATTTTTGTTAAGTTGGTACGATAACTCTCCTATTCTCAATGAAGTGGAGGTAAGTAGGTTTTAACCTACATACCATCTACAAGACAGAAGAATGGACCCAGAGGGTGATGACATATCCACTCAACAGTCATTTTAGTGAATTCCTATTATGAACCATGCTCACTGCTAGGTACTTAGGCTGCAGAGATTAGTTCCCTAGTGCAAAAGATGACTTTTCTGATGCAAAAGATTATTTCTCTAGTGCAAACAATTACTTCTCTAGGGCAAAAGTACTCTCATGACTTTTTCAGGGCATATCAAAGATCCAGATTAGGGAATGTCTTTCACAATCACCTTTTGGTGGCTCCACCCACCCTTAACCCTAGATTGGTTGCTTTCCCCATGTACCCCACACTCACAAAGCACAGGAGAAGAACACAAAACTGTCTCCAGCTGACAGTCTAACCCTTGGTAAAACTGAATAGCCCCTGGCAGAAATTACTCAGGTTAAATGCAGTACTTATGAAGAGATTGGGTGTGCCACAGAATGTGAGGATGGTAAAAGCAGAAGTTAACAGCTTTAGCAAATCTCACTCTAGGATTAAAGGAATATTGACAAGAGTAATGCCACTGAGGAAAAGAAAAACAAAAAAAACCCACAAGTTTTAGCCAGGTCTACAGTGCATGACAACTAGAGGCCATTTGGAACCAACTGATCTTTGCAACCTATCTCCCTATATTTGTAAAATTTACTTTGCATTTTTTATCAACTGGTACCACTTCCTGTTTCTTGAATATCCACTTCATGTCTTCCCACCTCCATGCCTTTGCTCAGACTGAAAAAATAAAGCAAAACAAAAACAAACTATTATATATCTTTCCAAATATGACCAACCTTTACAGGTTCAACTCTAATGCTGCTCCTTTATGAAGTATTTCTCCTTCTGGGCTCTCATATCATTGAATTTATTTTGAAAATAGCATGAGATTCTCTTTCAATGATGTGCTAGTGGGTATTTCTTTTTCTATCCTTTTAGATCTTAAATTGTAAGCACCCTGATGAGAAAAGCTCTACTGACCCCAGATTATCATAGGTGGATGGGTTGGGAGTGGAGGAAGAGCAGGTTTCAGAGGTGGCAAAGTTTATTGAAATGTGTGTGTGTGTTTTTAAATTATTTAAATGTCTTTTTTTATTTTGCTTATTCTGACTGATACTTGTCATGAGAAGATAATAGTAGGCAAAAATGGGATGACTCTAAAATGAGATCAGATTATGTGGTAGGTTTGGGAAGAAATATAAGAATTGGAGATAACCATGAACAATTTGACTCATAGTTCCTGAGTTTGAAGAAAGATCACATAATCATGATTAGTTGTGAATTCACAATGAAACCATATAACGAGATTTTTTTTTTTTTTTTTTAAGTCAGAAAGATGACCTCAAACACAGTATCAGAACTTATTTTCCTGTGCTGGGATACACACCACACGTACAATCTCCCCCCCCCCCCCCCCATCCCCAGCAACAACAACAAATAGAACTAAATATATGAAACCAAGCAGAATCAGGACCTTACTGGACAGATGTAAATATCTGCAACCATCGAACTGCGCTTGCAAGAGTAAATGGGCTTGAAACCTGGAGACCAGGACAAGAAAACCATCCCCGCAAATATCAACTTCGCTGCAGAAATGTTGGAATGTTTAACTACGGTGAACTCCAGTTTTTCTGCACCAGAGCGTAGTGGAGAAGATTTTTTTTTTTTTTCAAGTAGGCCAAATTTTTCTTGAGTCCCCTCCTTCCTTTTTTCTTTCTCTTCTATTTGTCCCGTCCCCTCGTTTTCGTCTCCGCAGAGTAACTGTTGAGATGGCCATTGGGTAGCGGCAGGGTCCAGGAGTCAATTCCCCTGCCCTGTTCTGGTTGTAGTGGGTGGGACTCAGTCCAGAGTTGGTTTTCCACCAGCAGATGTCTATGCCGTTTTCCTACACGTTCCCGAGCTAGAGCGGAGGTCAAAAGCGGACAGCAGCTGGGGAGCCGCCCCCAGCGACCTCCACCTGCGCCCAGAGGGAGCGCCGCCCGCCCGCAGCGCAGCCGAAGGACCCTGAGTGACCTCACCATGGTACGTTAGGGCCGCTACTTTCTTTTTCAGTTTTCCGGGGCAGGGAAGGGGAGGGGTTCTGAAAAGAAGTCCAGTGCTGTAGGGAGAGGGACTGCCAGGGGTCTCTGGGGGTCATCGCAGAGAGAGAGACACGAGATACAGGGAGAGATCGCTACTGGAACGCTTGAATGGGAACGGGGGTGGCGAGGCACGCGTCCCGCCCCGCCTGTTGAGCAGGTAGACAGGAGTGAGCCCGGGTGTGCGCGCTGCGGCCGCGTGTGCGGTGGGGGCACCCGCGCACGGACCGGCAGGTGCCACCGAGGGTCCCCGCCCCCGCCCACCGCCTCCCGCCCCGATGCCCACTCTCCTCCTGCGTTCGCGGTGCGGATTTGCAAGGCGCGCCCTGCAGCTGCTGGAGATCCGGAAACGCAGCCCCGAGCTCTGGGAGGCCACCGAGTAAGTGGTCACCGCACCCCCGAGAGGGTCGGGCTCCCCAGAGGGCCGGTCGCTTTCCCCGTGCCCCCCGCCTGGGTTCGATCTCCTCCCTCCACCCCCACCCCGGGAATCCTACTTGGTGCTCCCACCTGCGCAGTCCCGGGGGCCCGGGGCCGGTTCCCACGCTGGGAAGGAGCGAGGGAACAAAGGAGACGGCGCCCAGGAGCCCGGCCGAGGGCCCCGGGGACCTCCGGCGCCCGAAGGACCGGGACGGACCGGGGTGGGCGCCGGGCCGGCCGCGCCGGAGGCCGCGCCAGTGCCGCGGGGCCGTGAGAACGCGCGGGGCGCGCCGGGGCCGCCGCTCTCCCACGCCCGGGCGCCCCAGCAGCGCAGCCGCCCGCCCCGCGCGGCGCCACGGCCTCAGGCGCTCGGGAGGGCGAGCTGGAGCCGCCGAGGGACACGGGACCTCGGAGCCTGGGCGTCACTGCAACTTCGTCCCGCTTGCTACGGCGTGGGCGAGCCACTCGCCCTCCTCCAGAGCTAACAGCCACGATCTAAGGATTGCGTACAGAAAGCAGCAGGAAACTTACAGTGGGGCTGCTCCAGGGGCTCAACCGAAGAGTAAGTGTGTGTGTGAGTGCGTGTGTGAGTGCGTGTGTGAGTGTGTGTGTGTGAGCGTGTGTGTGTGTGAGCGTGTGTGTGTGTGAGTGTGTGTGTGAGTGTGTGTGTGTGTGTGTGAGCGTGTGTGTGTGTGAGTGAGTGTGTGTGTGAGTGCGTGTGTGAGTGTGTGTGTGTGAGTGTGTGTGTGAGTGTGTGTGTGTGTGAGCGTGTGTGTGTGTGAGCGTGTGTGTGTGTGAGTGAGTGTGTGTGTGAGTGTGTGTGTGTGTGTGTGAGCGTGTGTGTGTGTGAGTGAGTGTGTGTGTGAGTGAGTGTGTGTGTGAGTGTGTGTGTGTGTGTGAGCGTGTGTGTGTGTGAGCGTGTGTGTGTGTGAGCGTGTGAGCGTGTGAGTGTGTGTGAGTGAGTGTGTGTGAGTGTGTGTGTGTGTGAGCGTGTGTGTGTGTGAGCGTGTGTGTGTGTGAGTGAGTGTGTGTGTGAGTGCGTGTGTGAGTGTGTGTGTGTGAGTGTGTGTGTGAGTGTGTGTGAGCGTGTGTGTGTGTGAGCGTGTGAGCGTGTGTGTGTGTGTGTGTGTGTGTGTGTGTGAGTGAGTGTGTGTGTGTGTTAATTACTGCATGGCAGTCTAATTTCTGTGGTCCTTATGATTGCCGCATCTGGGGAAACAGTGCATGTCAGGGGGTCAGTGCCTGGAGCCTGTAATCCATGGGCTGAGCAGCCTCACCGTGACATTGGTGTAAGGGGCTAGGAAGCAATGGGGTTATGTGGTTTCCGGATATGCATTTAAATGTGTCATTTTCTTGCTCACTTGTTTTCACATTTGATCCTTCATTTTGCACTTGATAAGCAGTGTACCTCTTCTGAAGTAAACCAGGAAGCTGTACATTTCATTCATATACATATATATATATATATATATATATATATATATATGAAACTATATATGTATATATTAAAATAGAGCTTCGTTTATAACATATCTGTAGTGATTTTTCAGGGTTAGTTCTCTGATAGTGATTTCATTAAATGTCTACCTACTTATTAGGACTAGTCTTGGTAGGAAGATCGTTAACCCTCTGGTTACATATATAAAATTTTGAAGCACTTAATGATAGATATAGATTTAATATCTTAGTTCATAAGATAAAATTAGTCTGTTGCTTTTCCTAATATGGTTATATTTTTTCCTTCAGCCTTGGTATTGCAGGTACTATATATTACGAAGAGTGGTCAAAACCATTAACAACGTAAAAACAATATGAATGTCTAAAATTCCAAAGCAAACCTTATTTGTCAAAAAGCTATATAAACTTGACTACTTCTCAGTGGAGGTTGCCTGTGTGGTCTGTGTTCTGTTCAGTTCCCAGACAGCTAGTTCTGTGGATGTGCTTCAAGGAGTCCTGACGGACGTCCCTGAAATTGTATTCACACATCTGAATTGCTGCATTTTTAGGGAAGTAGTCTGGAGCCCCCAGATAGCCAAAGAGATCTGTGACTCCATAGAAAAATAAGAACCACAAAGTTAAATATATAAAGTACACTTTTTCTTGTCAAAACAATAAGCTTCCTACAGAAAGCCTTCTGGCAGAAGAGCAGGAAAAATCCTAGAATAAGTAGTGTTACAATAATGAGACATGTCATTGAAAACAGACCCACTTGTATGATTTTAAATATGTCAGATAGGAAACTTAGGTAGGTGCAATTTATTTAGTAGAAACTTATGATGAATAAATGGGTATCTTCTGTTTCTTCTTGGACTGTAAGATCTCTTTCTAGTCTGGTGTGTGACAAAGAAATAAAATTATAGCTCTCTCTTTGAAACCCAACAAAAATGTAAAGTACTTATGCTTGCTGTGGTGGTTCATAGTGTATGAATGTAAAGAGCCCTTAAAGGCCCTGTGTCTAGATATCCAGGGAGAAAATAACTGGTCTAAGACAAGTGTCATTTACAGAATGCGGAAGGAAATGTAAAGACATTCCACTTATACCTGGCAACGCCAAAGGAAAAAGAAATGTGGGAAACTTCAAATGCTTAGTACTCATAGTTCTTATAACTGATTTATTAAATGATCTTGCTTTAAGGTCTTATTTTGAAACCTATTTTAGTTAATATTACCTTCCACTAAAAACTAAAGAAGCAATAACTAAAATTATACTATGACTATGCCAATAAAATATTATATTACTGAAGGTCAACAGTTTTGTCATAGACACTTTCAAGCAAAAAAATCTTTATTTAGCATTGCTTTTTTGATTTTGTCTGAAACCATACAAGAGAAATCAAATTCTATATTTACATTTATAGGCTGCATTCCCCAACAATTAATGTGAGTATAGAAAGGAGAATACTGACATTTTTACAAGTTATTTTAAAACAACAGCTATACCCACCAAGTTTCTATTTAAACTTTTTCAGAAATAGATAAAAATCAAATTAGCCTTAAGAATTTATTTCTCTAGGTAAAGAGAAATGGAGATTTAAAGCAATATTTGAAAATTCCAAGCCAAAAAGTATGTTATTGATGGGACAAAATATTGGAGGAAATTATTTACTCAGAATATTTTCTGTATGTCAGATTTTCCAGAAAGGTTCTACGCTTTTCTTTTATCTGCTAGGATATATAACTTTTATAGCACTGATTTTCTATCACTTAAATTATAAATATTTACCCAAGCAACTTTTTTAAACATTACTATTTATTACTTTTCTGCATAGTTGTAGAAACTGATATTTTTAATTCTAAATTATGAATACTGTCAATGCTTATTAGTCTCTAGACTATCTAGATTTATTCAGTAAGTATTGATTAGGTGCCTGTCCAATAGTTTTGTTTTGGATATCTTCATTTTGACCTGATGGAAGAAGAGGTTTTAGCAATTTTTAGGTCTTCAGATGAACAAATTTAGTTGCCCATAGAGTAGTTGACTTAGTTTGGCTTGGAGTAATTTTTTGGCTATCCTGAATCATATTTGCTTCTATTTCTCTCAATAGTTTGGAAGTATCTGACCTATGCCATATTTCTCTCTCTCTCTCTCCTGGTTTCAGTCCAATAGGTTTTATCTTCTTATGGATAGCGTTATTTGCAAGGAGTGAAGAGCTTTAGACTACATTATAGAACTCTAGGGCATGCCCCACCCTCCCCCCCCCAGCCCTTCGCATAAAAATGTGATTCTCACTGCTCATAATTACTAACTTCACCAACCTGGAATGCTTTCTGGTCATTAATAATCTTTAATTAAGATGAACCCTCCCTTTCAGAAAATCAAAGGCAACTCAAATTAATTAGCTCACATACCACCTATTTCTTCTCACCATTGTAGGAATTAGCAAGAGGCCAACAGAAGACAGTGGCTTGGGAAGTGAACACCCTGGGGAAAAGAAGTTGTGTAGATCAAGGAAAAGTCTTAATCCTTAAATTATTTCCAGGTCTGACCTAACCTACACATTCCCTTTCGCTATGCTACATTGCATTAAAAATACTTGTTTAGGTGTCTGTATCTTACTGAACTCCAGCCTCCCTCAGGATATTCATCATTGGACTCAGTGCCTGGCACAGAGTAAGTGTCTAGTAGGTGTAATTGTGTGATCCTTGTAATTATTGAGTTAAGTTTTTTATGCCTTGATCCTATAGGTTGTTCTGTTTAAGAATGCAATTTAAAGAATGATATTCATTTTGCAATGACCCTCCATGGAATATTATGGTTTTTCTCTCAGAGATGCCTTGCAGCCTATTCAGAACTGCTTGTGAACTGTATTTCTCTCATCATTCCCAATTACCCATTGTCTTTCTAAGTTTACAACCTTCATTAATGTTATCTGCCCTGTCCCCATTACCAATGCTTAATGACCTGAGATTCCACTTTCCTTAGGAATCTAAAACAATGGAGGTTTTTCTTTCTTAATTTAGTCAGCTGGAATTTTTCAGGACTTCATTGAACATCTACATGTTTGGCTTTCACAGGACCTTAACCTG